GCAGGCGCTGCGCGCCAGACACGGCCAGTCCCAGCGCGGCCTCTGGGCTGCTCAGGGGCTCACCTGGCACCACCCGGACAAGCGAAATACTTCGCCGGTTGGCGAAGGCCCGGTACAGGGGTGTTTGGGGAGAGGACTCAGGAGCCTAGCCAATAATTCACCCTGCCCAGCTCAGGGTCTCAATTCGGATTTAGACCATTGTCTTACCCCTCATTTTTTTTTAACTATTACTTTAGTGAATAAATATTTAATAATTAGACGAATTGTTCCCTCAGGGTTAAGTATTGCTAAGGGAGGTGCTGTTTTCAGAAGGGTTCACTGCTGCTTCTTTAGAAATTAAGATTGAAAGGAAGTGTAGATTATTAACTATGCAGGTTGCAGACACAGCAAGTGTTCTGGAAACTACTTTTTGTTAGAGAAATTTTCGAAATCGGAAAGATCATGTAACAATATTAGCGAACACCATTATGTGATGCACTTAATTACATAGTAGGCGTCATGCCAAGGACTTTACATAGATTATATAATTAAATCTTTTCCCCAAGCTATTGCATAGGTCCTCTCATTTTTATTCCCATTTTAAAGATGGTGAAACGGAGGCTCACAGAGGTCAGTTTCCCCAAACCACAGCTAGTAAATGGCAGAGCTTAATTTGAATCCAGTGCTCTGGCTATACAGCCCTTAAAAATTACATAAAATAAATATTTTATTGATTCTTCAAAACCCTTTTATATGTTTCTTATAACTGGAGACCATTAAAAGGCATTTTAATTTTTTTTTAAAAAAATGTTAACTAGACATTAACATCAATAATGGATTAGAACAGAATAATGGGTAAATGTAGGAATTAGGTATTTTAATAAGAGAGTAGGTTCCAAGTTTGCCTTCATTAGTTGAGTGTGCCTTTGTTAAAAATGAATGAGCCAAACTTATAACCATGAGAGAACAAGAAACTAGGCAAAATTTGAAGCTCACTGTGTTAGTTTTCTATTGCTGCTGTAACAAATAACCATAAACGTAATGGCTTAACACAACACAAACTTAGTATCTTACAGCTTGGAGCCATAAATCTCACTGGGCTAAATATTGGAGAAAATCCCTTCCCTTGCCTTTTCTGGCTTCCAGAAGCTGTCTACTTCTTTGGCTCATAACCTCCTTCATTGTCAAAGTCAGTAATGGTGAGTTCAATCCTCCTCACTTCAAACCATTTTGACCCTCCCTTCTGCCTCTCTCTCCTACTTTTCTAAACACCCTGTGAGTACATTGGGCCCACCTGGGTAATCAGGATAATCTCCCTATTTTAGTCAGCTGACTAGCAATATTAATTCCGTCTTTGCCACATAACATAACATATTCACAAGTTCCAGGGATTAGGATGTTGACATCTTCGGAGGGCCCCTGCTCAGTCTACCACATGTAACAGCATAAGTTTGGGGAGAACGTGGAGTGGAAATGTGGACTAGGTATGTCACTGTGCACCCCTTCCAGGGCTTACCTCCGAGTGGCTCTGGAGCTCCCAGCTAGAAGACTACCTCCATGGTTAGGAAAATAAGTGTTTGAGAAAAGGACCACAAGAAAAGTTTAAAATAATTGCCATATATATATGGTTTCAGAGGGAAGGGAGAGAGAGATAGAAACATCAATGGTGAGAGAGAATCATTGATGGCTGCCTCCTGCATGCCCCCACTGGGGATCAAGCCTGTAACCCAGGTATGTGCCCTGACCAAGAATCTTGGTTCATAGGTCGATGCTCAACCACTGAGCCATGGCAGCCAGGCTGCTTTTACTTTTAATCAAAATAGTACTGCAGACCATTTTAAGTGGAAGTGGAAAGTCTGAAAATAGAAGCAAATATGAAAGCATTGGAAGGTAATAAAACCAGCCTTTAGGAGTAATTT